TTTTTTTAGCCTTCCAACTCGTATTTGTTGGTGTTTTGGAGTTTTCCTACTTTAAAAGATGTAGACAGGCATGCTCCACATTTCCTGCCACTACCACCTCTGTCCTCTTCCTATTAACACATATACATATATATATATATATATATATATATATAGAAATAATGGAAAGGAAAGGAAAAATATTCACAAACAACTGCTTTTTTGCTTTGTTTACCAGTGTTATAATTTTCAAGAGGTCCAGGTGTGTGTGTGTGTGTATGTGTGTGTGCGCATTAGGTAGAATACAAACAGCTTGGGTTGGCTTGGCTTGGGTTGGCTTGGCCTACCCCTGTTTTCTCCAATTTCAAATTTCAATTTGCATTCTGGTCCAACTCATTTGGTTGATATTGCTACCCCATCTATCATCATTTCAACATAATAAATAACAATTTGGCTCCCTTCTATAATGGTTACTTCTTCTGGAATTGAGAAAACTCGAAAACTCGGAAACAGAGAAGTCTGAGAATAATAATGTTGGGAATCAGTTCCTGGCTTTTAGGGTATATGCTGGAACGAGTTTTAAATGTTTGGACATAAAAGGATGTAGTATTTGGTTGGTAGAAATATGAATATGTAACCGTTCAAGCTCACCGCTAGTAGATATTGTCATCGTTGAACTTTTCTTTCCAACTTTCCCCTCAAGGTTTCCCACCCTTATAAAAAAATGTTTCGTTTTTCTTCTCAACCAATGTGAGATCTTATAGAATATGTTCATAAAATTTGCATTGAAATGGGGATCTACGGGTGATTTTGGGTATGATACTTGAGGTGACAGGTTTTTTTAGCTTTAACTATTTTCTTTGTGTTTTGTTAAATTCGGAAATTTATTCATTTATTTTTTATATTCATGAGTGTTCGGGTCAACTTGCACTATACTGATCTCATGGGACAACCATCTAACCCCACAACATTTATTACCAAGATTACTCTAAGAATATTAAATTCTAAGTACTTATTTTCACGAAGTCTACGGTATAATGTTTGTGTCACCTTGTGCGACTAATTTCATAGTGCTTAACCTATATTTAGTTTCAAGATTGTCTGTACTACCAGCCTCAAAATTTGGGGAATGAGATAACCAAGATATATGTTTTCAAATCATTATGTTTTTGGCCAATACCTAATCCCAGAGTCTTCACAAAAAAAAAAAAAACATTTTTGCTATGTGTAATCAGTACACTTTTTGAAGGTAAGCCAAATGAGAAAGCTAAGAAATAAAGCTGATAAATGATCTTACCTAAAAAGATGAAGAGGCATCATGAGGTGCCAGAGAGACTGCCTCCCTTGGGTGAAACACTACCACAGCAGCTGAAAGGCAAAATGAAATTCATTAATCAGTAAGGACCATTTTGTTTTAAGAATAATCAGATGTGAATCTATATAATATCTTGATTGTGGTGGTGGTGGTTTGCTACTGTCTCCATAATTGGTTCAATGGGTGTAAAGGAAGAAAAGATTGGACTATGAATTGTAAATCAGATACTAATATCATAGAGCTGAACTGTAACGACCCAGATCCACCGCTAGCAGATATTGTCCTCTTAGGACTTTTTCTTTCGGGCTTCCCCTTTAGACTTTAAAACGCATCTGCTAGGGGAAGATTTCCACACCCTTATAAAGGGTGGTTTGTTCTTCTCCCCAACGAACGTGAGACATCACATTAACTGTCATTACATGGAGATGAACTTAATTACCTACTCCAATGAATGATTTACAATTGAAGGACAGACTAAAGCAAACAGTATGAGAACATTCAACTAATCGTCAATTCAATCTATAATTCAAAGTGCCAGAAGGCAGTCATGGGAAGAAGATATAGTTCCATGCAGTCAAGGACTAATTTATCAATATCAACCCTGCTGCTTAATTGATACTATTGAAATAAGCTCAGAAACAACCAATCTAGATTATCACATCAAAAACTCACCGACCTGAAAAATTCAATCAAACCCTATCCGAACCATTTGAATTGAGTTGGGTAAAATTTGTTTTGATTCAAATAAATTGAACCCCTTTGGAGATAGATTGGTTTTAGGATTCTTCCAGAATTAATCATCTAATTCAACCAACTCTTTTAGATACTTTTTCCTTATCCAATAATTGCTAAGAACAAATTTGTCCTAATCTTTTGAGCCTCATTTTCCATGAATAAAATATGATAATGAACTACTATTCTTAATCCGAACTTTGAAGATATGCTAGTTCATTCAAAAGATACTCTCCTTTTTCTTTTTTCCTAATCACATTTTAAACTAAATAATCTAAACAATCAAAACCAAACTAGCCAAATAGTACATGGTTGGGTTGGGTCAAGCTCGGGTCTATCACTTAACTAGAGGTCATCTGAGCTGACCCCACAATCTCTCTTTCAACCCAAGCCAAGCTACAAACAGCCCAAGTCACAGTAAACAGAGTTTATAAGTTTTAAGTCAAAATTTATGAGGACTTCTTGGATCTATAA